TGAAGTGAGACACGGAGGTAGCTCGGACAAGCGTGCGCTTCTTGTATCTGCAAACTGGGCGGATTCTAGCCGCGATGCAGGTATTGTCCGGCACCGCAACAAGGTTGTTAAGTGGGTTTTGTTTGCCAAAGCTCTCTTCAACATTCACGCCGATCAGAGAACTGCTGCCGGAGGAGCCGGTATGCAAACTGCAACCGAATGAAAAGCAACTCGCTCAGAGCAAGAGCAGTAAGGTGTAGTTCTGTATCTATTATTGCGGCTGTGACACCCAAAGACTCCGTAGTATTTATGTCTGCAGCTAGTGCTTACCAGTTTTGTTCTCATCACATTTTCAGTCTTTGCTACATTCTCTCTCAAGGGGTATGTAGATTTCTGAATATTTCGTTCTCAGCACAGAAATGGACACTGAAGGGTCTTAACAGCTATATATTCATCAGTTAAGGACAGAAAGCCTTAAAGCCAATGCAGATGTGGCAGCCACTAATAACACGCGTTCTTTCTCCAACAAAGAACTTCAGTCAGCAGCTCAATTTATCATCTGATAATAACAAAGTCATTTACTTCCCATAAAAAAAGATAGCCGTTAAACCTAAAAACGTTGGCAAAGATCCTTTCCATTTCTCTCTGTTCACCGTGGAGTTATGGTTAAATCTAAGGCTGTATTTCAATAAGCAGATACAAGTTTATTGCCTTGCAGCGTATTCTTCTTCTGGAACCATCTGTAAAACAGTGCCTTCGTAAAAGATCTTCTCTTTGTAATTGGTCACGTTTGTATTATCATTTAAAAAAATTAATTTCTCTGTTACTTTTGCTGGTCCCAATCAAGCGTGATAATTTTTTTCTTGGTCTGCATAGCAAACGTTCTGGTAAAACTAGAAGTTTAAAATCTGTATTTTTGTCATGTGAACCAGAAAGGTTCTAGCTGGATATTCCAACTCCATGCTGAACTGTAGGACTGCCTGGCAGAAATCGGTGTCACCAGACGTTGAGCTGAGGTACTGGTTGGTGACAAGTCTTTAGAACAAGAAAAAACCCAAGCCTCCCTGCCCCTGCCATTCTTCAGGAAATGAAGAGCTGCTGGTTTACATCCAAGTTACAGCATTCTGTACTGTTGCCCATTTGTTTTCAGTTTATAGTTATAAGCCAAATCCTGTTCAGCTATAAACACATATACACGAGGAAACACATCTGTAGGAAGAGGTGTGCTTACAGAGACCCAGATTTCCCCAGTCACCTCTTCTTGACTGCACAGACCAGGCAGATAACAAAATTTTATGGACAACAGTGAGAGGCAAAATGCAAGCGAGAAAGTATTCCGCAAAAATATACACTACTGACATTCCATAAGCAAAACCAAACTAGTTCTATAAAATGGGGTATGATAAACCTCTGAAGTCTACAGCAGATCTGCACGAGACTATTCTTTCCCAATGGCCTCATGCCTCCTGTTGGCCTATACAGAAAACACAGGTTTGCAGCAAAATTGGTGTATGTATTTTGGACCTGGACAATTCCAAACCACAGCCACTTCCGCATTAGCTAGCTCAGGTAGCAGGACGCGGGGGAAAGGGTTGCTGTAATGAGGTGTCGCTGCCCAAACTGGAAAGAACTTACTGCCTGCGTGATGCAAACAGGCCATCCCACCTGGAAAGTGAGCATTTAAGAAGATGTTGTAGCCCAAAGTCATACAAACACAAGCAATGGTTTAGAAGCGTGTTAGTGGTGTGATGAGCAATAATATAATTTGCATTATAAATTAATACAAGTTAGCTGTTGTTTCTAGGATTTCATTGCATAAGTACACATCATCTTGTACTTTGATGATGATACTCTGCATCAGTTCTCTCCTCTGAGGCTCGGTTTTGCTGAGGTGGAACCCGTCTCCCAAACACAACCCCATCTGGCTTACGGGCACGGTGTCATTCAGCCGCACGTGAGGATTCGTCTTGGCCTCTGAAACCAGGCCACCGCTCTCCAGCTCATTGCCTCTGTCACTCCAGGTAAGTGGAACAATGAAGGAAAGGAGAAGATTCATGGCCAGAACCACAGTTACTGGGTTCATCTCCATAAAAAACCCGTACTCACTCATGTGTTTGCATCTACCCTATTGTTATTTGTCACACAAAGAAAATTAACTTCTAATGCTAAATTTTTGATTCTATAGCATTCCACACCTGAATAGCACAGAGAAAATTACAACCATGGGTAATTTTATTTGCAGTTTCTCTATACATCTACTTATTCTCACAAAATAGCCTTAGATTTCCATTGTGAAGTTTTATATACCCAACGATCCTATAAGAGCTAGGGATAACCCGACTAGGAAAATCTAAGATATATTTTCAGTTTAATCACAGACGACTCAGGGGTATAAGTGTCTCAGTGGCATTTTGAAAGCTTAACTCTAGAGAGCACTTTTAAACTTGCATTCAAGGTGTCCCAGAACTTGCACTCAAGTGCTTTCTAATAAAGTCTCATCAAAGCTTCCAAGGAGCTCTGTAAATAGAAATTTCTCAAACTTTCTTATTACCTTGTGTGTTAAACAGGAGGTTCAATGTATCAAAGCTAAATACAAAGGAATTCTAGGGCTCTTACTACTCTCTTCTGATTGCTGAATAAAGCTCTGTATTAAGAAACTTTAAAAATATATAGCACAGCTTGTGAAAAATCCACGCTTTCAAATCTGCAAGATACAGTTTTCTTTCCAAAAGAGGCAGAAGCTTCAAAAGCCGTTACTAGACGAACAGAAACAAGTTACGTCAGGCAGCATTTCCAACACAAGCAGAGGATAATTTAACTAAAAAAATCTGAAGAGACACAATATTTAAATTTTGGGATCACATTACATATATCTACTCATTTAGGAGTGATCAAAGACAGATCATACTACACTGCACAGGAACTATCCATAGGAACTTGTTTTTACGAGTCCCAAAATGGAAATCCTGATTCTCAGTATATGCTCAAAAACCTTTGGCCTCTTCCCTGACAAGGTCCAACGGAACTCCTAGTATCTGACACAATTCCAGTTTCGGTACTTAGAGCTTCATGCTTATCACAGGATGTGAGCTGGATACAGCCAGAGTTCTCACTGATGTTTCCAGAGTCTGCCTCTTAGGGAACTGCTTCCCAACGCAAGCACCCAGCCAATCCTACAGTACAGTAAACAGCACTGAAAAAAGTCTTAAAAGTATTTAGGCACCAGAAGAAAACAGAGCATTTCCTTAATACCTTAAGCACAGTCTCTTCAAGTTAACTTGAAGAGTTACAAGTGCTGTAACCGGAAGAGACTGAGCTTAAGATATTAATGAGAACACCCTGTAATGCTATATTTGCAAAAACAGGCTACAGCGACGCAGAGTAACAAGTTTGAATTGCCACCACCACGCCTGAACAAAAGAGCAAGGCTCACACCTTGTGTAGCAGAGA